CTGTCAGAGGACAAATGTTCTTTTTTTTTTTTTTTAGATTTCTCGGACATTTAGGCCGGTAAATGTTGTTAATACTGTTTATTATAAACAGAGCATTTACTTAAATATTTTTACCTATAAAAATAATGTATAAAACACACAAACACACACACACACACAGATACATATACATGGTAGGAATTGTTGTTTAGTATGTACATAATAAACGTATTGTGTATACGCATATGTGTTTATATCACATATAGACGCCGCAAACATATAATGGTATTCCAAGTTTGTATATTTGTATGTGTTGTAGGAATGTCAACGCACACTAGAGTACTTAATAGACCCAACACGCTCGTGTCTGAGGATATTATCTATACTCGACTTCTATATAGGTTGGTATTAATATTCGCATGAATTGAAAGCCGCCCTCCTGCGAAGATATGTATCTTAAAAAAAGATCTAGAGAGCGTATCAGATCAGTTTGTTATGTCTGACTTGTCAAAGTTCATCAAAATATATATATAAAAAAAAAAACAAACAAAGTTGGATAAAAGCCTTTCGGGCAAACCACAAAATCTGGATGACTACAGCTGTCGCTGAACACCGACGTAGATTTACAGCTTTGGTCTAATTACGAAAAGCTGATTTCAAGTCGTTTGACAAGAGACCAAGTGTTTTTTTTTAGTTTTTTTTTATTACCCACGGATTATCTGAAGAGTTTTAGGTGGAATAGGACTTCCTCATTGCACGAAGAGAGGTTGGGTCGGTGTTATATCGATGCCAGCGTGGTAGTGATCACAGGTACTGGGCAATTTTTAGCCTTGGACCGTATGCATATTCATGCGTATGGGTACCCTACTTTCAAAAACGACCTTGTGTTACATTTCGCCTTAGTAGGAAGGTCAGATTAAAAAAGCCCCCCCAAAAAAAACAAATAAAAACCCGTCCCATTTTCAAACGGAAAAAAACAAAAAAGTACATAATTTCTACAATATTTAGGCCTTTTTTGTAACATTAATGTTATTAAAACCTGAAAGATCTTGCGTATTCCCTCTATTTATATTTTTTTAACCAATTTTGGTGAATTTCCTGTTTTTGAAACAAAAGACGTTCAATTACGCTGATTCCCAAAGAACAAATATGGCCGACGTATCAAATAGCTTTTGTAAACAATTGTATTAACATCTGCCTACAATTGTTTTATGATCTATTAGCCGAATTACACGCGCCTTGCTGCGTGTGACACTCTTTTGTAAGAAAATGATTGATTTTAAATCATTATAATTTATGGAGAAAAATTATGCATTTCAATATTACTTGTCAATGTGACCTCCATCTTCTGGCTTTCTCCTATATTTTGGATAGGAGTCATTCTATTGTTCAAATTTAAATTTAACTTAAATCAGAGAGGAAAAAATTCAGTGTGGGGTTTGTGCAACAACAGCTAAATCTGACTCCTTTGATATGTAATTGATGCAATACTTGATTGAATGAATTGATGAGCAGATTTGAACATTAATATGACAGTTGAATTATCGCAACAAATATGTATTGTAAGGCACTACCCACTGATTGATTATTTGTTGCTCAACTTGACATCCATATTGTCTCATTTTGATCTTGCTGATGGGACCTTCATTTTCTAGATTTCTCCTACGATATTTTGGATAAGTCATTCCCTTGATCAAATATGAATTTATATTTAAATCAAAGGGAAAAAAACCAGTGGGGGTTTGTGCCCCCTCGGGTATCCCCTTTGATTAAAATGAAACATACTTATCCAAGTATCCTGGGTAATGTAGTTTCAGAATATATATGTTTATGGGGGGGGGTTATCTCCAAAACCATAGGAGGAGTTCGATAGCAAATATACAGAGAGACAGAGGTTATATCTCTTCTATTTGGGATTTACAAAATTTAGTTTATTACTAGTAAGGTAAGTGGCTGTATTGGTTCAGACCGACTCTCTTAACTTTCCCTTCCAGGACCAAGCAACACCTAATTTCGGCCTTATGCCACATCTAAGCTACCCTTGGAAAATCACTATATATTGTCGGCTTAGTATTGTTTTACCCTGTTATTTGTCTTTCTTTTGTTATTTGTTTATTGGAGACTTTGTCATTTCCACTTGATAGGAATTTCTGCTAATTACACTTAACCATGACCAATTCTAGAGTTTCTTTCCTAGTCTCATTTTTGCATTCCATTTGCGCAAGTTTTGTTATGTTGGCTACTCGCTGCTTCCATCTGTTCCTATTGTTTTCAATATATCCTGTGAGAGTCAAATTTGTCAAGCCCTGTTTCCTCATTATATGTGGACACGACTAGGACAAAAATAAAAAAAAATCAGGTTTTAAATCAATTTCCTTTGGGGAAGCTTGGATTGTCAAAATTCCCTAATTTGCGTGAGACCTCAGATGTTTCTTGATCTAAACTAGAATTCTCATTTGCATAGTCTGGTACAAGGCTAAATTTATCTGTATACTCTTAAAATAAATGATGATGTTTCTATAATTTATTAGATATTCAGTTCACTGCAATGCCTGTTACGTTCATTTAATACTAGGTACCCACCCAGAAAACGCGATACCTAAGGCTCAAAATGAATTTAAAAAAATGAGAAACATTTCTTGAAGCTGTTATTTTAGTTTTAATTTCAAGCTAATACTCTAATATTCGCTATAGTACCTAGACATTTTGAATTTAAGCGCAGTATGTCGAGATTTCATCAATTTACGGTTGAGCTGATTAAATGTAACCATAAATTCTATGCGGGCAGTTTCTTTTCTAACTCGTCGAACTCCCTTCCGACTACATACTTTCCAGCCAACTTTAATCTCCAGAAATTTAAATTCAAAGTCAATCGGTGTCCACTGTCCACCTGATTACTCTTTTCTCTTCCAGCTCATTATTAATGTTTCTGTTCATAATTATCCCACACCGTGTAACTCGCTTGCGTCATAAGGGCTTTAAAAAGGAAAAAAAAGCTGTATCGAAGGCAATATAGCCTGACGAAGCCCATCAATTTCCAGACTGGTTCTAAATTCAGAGCTTTCCTTCTTTTATACTGGTTGCTGCCTCTAGTCAATAGAGCATAACCCGCCATGCTATTTAACCCATGGATCGAAGAAGTTGAATTCATGCTTTTCCAAGGGCATTAACACGCTAGACAATTTTTCTCGCCAAAATCTAACTTACATATTTATAAGTATACTTCCTTTGAATACTGCTTCCATATCTGGTCTGGTTCTCTTTCTATAAATTTAGAGATTCTTAATAAAATCCAAAGAAGAACATGCTATGTTATTGGTCTTGACCTGACGTTTTGGCTTCAGTTATTTTCCTGCCACCGTAATGTAGCTTCCCTGTGCCTTTCCTCTAAATACTTTCGTCTATGTCTATCTTGTACATATGAGAACGAGTGAGGACCACATAGAGACTTGAGATATTATGGTGGTTGTAGTAAGAATGTGTTTTGGTGTAGAGAATACTGTGGTATGTTTGGCTTAGTAATCGTGGTTAGCTAAGTTCAAGATAACGCGATACCTAAGGTTCAAAATGAATTAAAAAAAAAGTGAGAAACATTTCTTGAAGCTTTTATTTTAGTTTTAATTTCAAGCTAATACATTAAATTTAATATTTCTAACAAGCAAAATAATTTGCTGTATTTCAAAACCAATTTAAAAGCAATTTAAATTGACTGGCAGTAGTTTTTATTGCTAAAGTCGCAGATTAGCGCCATTTTTAGTTCGCGTCTTCGTAATGTAACTCTCGTTATTAAAAAAATCTTCCAAAAATAAAAGTACTTTTCTGAAACTTCATTTGAGGAATATTAGATGAATTAAAGTTTAATGATTCCGATTATAAAAAAATATTACTTACTCTAAGTTTAAAATATCGCAGATATTGAATTTTAGATACTTTGATTTTAAATTTACTACAGTTATCGTTCTTATTTTCTGATAATGTCGTGTATGGTCATCCGTATTCACGAAAATCGGCAAGTTTATACACATACAAATTCCTTTTAAAATATTGATGTTTGATGATTTGTATTAAACTTTTCCATTTATGATTAGTTTTACATAATAACAATGTTACATAACGTGGCTGAAGTAATACAAAAATTTAAAAAATTTGAAACTTTATAAATTATACTAAATAAAAAAAATGAAAACAGTTCTTGTAAAAATTAATTATTCATCGAATTTCTTTTTCTTAAGACAATAGTCTCCATAATATATCGTATTCATAAAACAAAAGCTTTTCTAATTATATAATGTCTGAGTTTTATTGCATTTTTATTTTACGATTCAGAGCAGATTGTCAGTAACTGGCGTTTCTGTTTTACGAAAAAATTGATGATTTAAATTCTCCAAAGAGTTCTGCTTTTAAATAATATAAACATCAATTAGGACAAATTTTAATTTCTTGAAATTTCTTAAAGTTAAATAAATCGGGAGTAACAGATGTAAAAAATAGCAAGATTTAAAAAAAAACATTTGTAAAAAGATGTAATTCATTTATAAATAAGCCATGAAAGTTGAATACGAGAATTATTTGATTTTTTCAAGAATTTCCAAATCAATGTGTTTTTCTCCGCAAAAAAACTCCTATAATAATCATTGCCCTAGCGTTAACACACAAAAAAAAAACAAGATTCTTAACCAAAATCTTGCACGTTCTAAAAAGAATTAATAAAATATAATTTGATAATATAAAAATTCCTTTTCCTTTTGATAACATAAATATTTTAATGATAAACTTTGTTTTTATTAAATTAGTGGCATTTTTTCATCATGGTATGCTCATTTTTTTTAGCAAATCAATCTTGGCCTATTATCATTGGACCTATTATCAAACGGCTACTCCTGGGCCTTCTGACTAGAATAAGTTATGTAACTGTACGCTCTGTGTAAGATCAAATTGTTACTATTGGCCATCTACCGATAAGCAAACGGTTACTCCTTGGCCCTCAAACGGTTACTCCTTGGCCCTCTACCGATAATCAGACGGTTACTCCTTGGCCATCCACTGATAATTAGACGGTTACTCCTTGGCCATCCCCCGATAATCAAACGGTTACTCCTTGGCCCTCCCCCGATGATCAAACGGTTACTTCTTGGCCCTCCCCTGATAATCAAACGGTTACTCCTGAGCATTTAATATAGCAACCGGTTGTAATATCAATGCACCCTGACTATCATCAGATATCATTCCCTGGGTCTTCTGCATAGTACATTTATATTTGTATATTTAGCTTGACTAATTATCTTGGTTTCGAACGTTTGATTCAAAGCAGTTCATTTAATCTATTTGTTTGCATTTAATGCGATAGGACTTACAAACAGACGATCAACAAATAGGAGGAAAATAGAAAAGTCCATCGCTTTATTATATAGATTCAATTAACTTGATGAATGTGATATCAAAAGGCCGCTTTCATTTCTAATTGCCCTCTTCAAATAATAAAAAAATCTTCAAATTTTCATGACTTATTCTCGCAATTTCACAGTGGAATTAAAGAGATTGGGTTGGGATGTTTTATTTATTTATTTATTTATTTATAAATGTAAAGAAGCTGAAATCATATTAGGAAAGTTGAGAAGCGTGTGTACGTAAATACAATGCAATTTCATTCGACCGGATCCGATAAAAACGAAGGCATAACATACGAGAATGTTTCACAGCTGTATTTTATTTTGAAAATATGATTTATCTTCTTTTTATAAAAATTTAAACTCAAATATAATCCTTTTTTTCATTATGTGGGAGTCTGACGTATTTATTTTATTTTCGTTTTTAATTTCTTCCACCTTTTTTGTTTCTCTTCAAACTTCATTTTCATTTACGACTTTTCTTTCTTTCTTTCTTTCTTTCTTTCTTTCTTTCTTTTATGCCTCTGAATTTATTTTTGCTTACACATCTTTCTTCCTGATTGCAAATCTTTCTTTCTTTCTTTCTTTCTTTCTTTCTTTCTTTCTTTCTTTCTTTCTTTCTTTCTTTCTTATTACGCAATTTCATTTTCTTTTCTTTTTTCTTTCTATTTACGCCCTTTTCCTCCTCTATTTCTTTCTTCCTATATTTCCTTCTTTCTCTCTTTTTCATTCTTTCTGATTAAGCATTTTTGTTTTTCTTTCTATTTACCTCTCTCTTTTCTTTCTTTCTTTCTTTCTTTCTTTCTTTCTTTCTTTCTTTCTTTCTTTCTTTCTTAACATTTTTCCGTGTAGGTTCTTTCCACGTGCCATGCCTCAGGGACATATAGCCCAGTGGATAAAGACATTGGTTAGACCCAAAGAGATGTGAGTTCAATACCAGGCTACAAAACCAGGTGAACCCAAAAACTTGGAGAGTTGAGTTAAAGAAAAATTACTGAGACACCAAGAAAAGGCATGGAATGTGGAACTAGAACAATCTGCCCCAGTGGACGAAATAAAGGGTTTGGTTCGAAATTCCAATCACCTGGAGAAGGCCGGAGCGTACAACAACAGAAACGTTGTGAATATGGCAATGAAAATGAAAAGAACAGTCCGAATAATGTAAATAATCAGTAGAAGACCTGGAAAAACGAAAGCCGTATTGCTTGCCTGAGAAAAGGCCCTGTGATGAGAGATGATGAACCAGTTCTGTTGACTTTTTCATAGACTGGTTGTCAATCAGCGTCAGATAGACTAGCCTGCTCTGCTGTTTAACGATTTAATCCTATTTAGTGGAGGGTAAGGTAAGGGTACATGCCTTTCCCAAGGATGTCTGTGCGAAAGTGAATGTAATGAACTCGACTGGAATTTGAACTCGGTTCAGTTATTTCTCGATCCGAGCCGATAACAACTGCGCCAGTTTACATCCATTTAACCCATAGCTTGTCTTGGGGTGGGTGTGAGAAGATATTGATTCCTACCTTGCCCAGGGTTATTTTTTGCGACCGTAAACGTAACAAACTCGACCGTCTCGATGATTTTCGTTCCGAATTGCTAATGATTTGACTACCCGCAAATCCTTTTTATCGTTCACCAATATTAAATACTACAGTAACCCCTCGTTCGCTGAAAATGATCTCGCTTTAAATAAATCTGTCGAGAAAACACATTCTCCTTTTTCTTGTTTGTATAGTCTCTGACCGTATTCAGGGTGTTTGTTTCCAGCGTACCCTATTGGGGTCGTAGAGGTAACATATTTATTGCAGGTGCTTTTTCTATAAATACTTTCATGGTAATTGCCCGCATAGGCTATTCGCTATGGTAGTTAGGCTTTTTGAATTTAAGCACAGTATGTCGAGATCTCATCAATTTACGGTTGAGCTGATTACATGTAACCGTAAATTCTATGCTGACAGTTTCTTTTCTAACTCGTCGAACTCCCTTCCGACTCCATGCTTTCCAGCCAACTTTAATCTCCAGAAATTTAAATTCAAAGTCAATCGCTGTCCACTGTCCACCTGATTACTCTTTTCTCTTCCAGTTCGTTATTAATGTTTCTGTTCATAATTATCCCACACAGTGTAACTCGCTTGCGTCATAAGGGCTTTAAAAAAGAAAAAAAGCTGTATCGAAGGCAATATAGCCTGACGAAGCCCATCAATTTCCAGGCTGGTTCTAAATTCAGAGCTTTCCTTCTTTTATATTGGTTGCTGCCTCTAGGCAATAGAGCATAGCACGTCATGCTATTTAACCCATAGATCGAAGAAGTTAAATTCATGCTTTTCCGAGGGCATTAACATGCTAGATAATTTTTCTCGCCAAAATCTAACTTACATATTTATAAGTCTACAGGCTCTGAATACTGCTGCCACATAAGGTCTAGTGTTCCTGCTATAACTTTAGAGATTCTTAATAAAATCCAAAGAAGAACTTACTATGTTATTGGTCCTGACCTGGCGTCTTCAGTTATTTTCCTGCCACCGTAATATAGCTTCCCCGTGCCTTTCCCTTAAATACTTTCGTCTATGTCTATTTTGTACATATGAGAACTTGTTAGGACCACATAGAGACTTGGAGGTATTATGGTGACTGTCGTAAGAATATGTTGTTTTGGCGTAAAGAATACTGTAGTATGTTTGGGTCAGTAATCGTGGTTAGTTAAGTTTAAGATAAGACAGATTGAAAACAAGCCTTCCCCTAAACCCTCCTTTTCGGCCTTGTGCCTCATTTTTGTATTACTCAAAATATTACTTTCCTCTATGTTGTACATATTTGGACTAGTTAGGATTACATAGAGACTTGAGGTATTATGGTGACTGTCATAAGGATGGTAAGAATGTGTTGCTGTGTTGTTGGTGTAAGGAATACAGTAGTATGTTTGGGTCAGTAATTATTACTAGATATGTTTAAGATAAGACATACTGAAGACCAGTCTTTCACTATTCCACCTTTTAGCCTTGTGCCATATTTTTGTATTACCAAAAATAAATATTACTTTCCTCTATCTTGTACATATGGAAACTAGTTAGAATTATGTAAAGACTTTAAGGTATTATGGTGTCTGTAGCAAGAATGGTAAGGATATTTACCACGTCTCACTACTGAGACGTGATGTGACATAAAGCCGGATTTATTGTGGGGAACTCGAGCGTGTACACTCAGGCCAAGGACAAGAATTCCCCGAGCCCCCGGTTGCGTTGGCCTCGGTGGCGAGCACCGATCCATCTCTCTAGTGCAATGACAGGATGCAGCCTCTGGCAGCTGTTCCCCAGGGGTGGGCACCTCAAAGTATTATTTTACACAGTTGCGCCTCTGTGCTCCGACGGAGCCGCAAATGAGCCGCACTCTGCCTGAAGACAGAGACGCAAATGAGAGATGATAAATCCTACCCGGCATGTGCCAGGTAAGTATGGTAAGAATGCTAAGTAGGAATGTGTTTGTTTGGTGTACATTTGGGACAGTCACTGTGGTTAGTTAAGTTTGAGATAAGACAGATTGAAGACAAGCCTTCCATTACTCCTCTTTTTGGTCTTGTGCCACATTTTTGTATTTGCAAAATAAATATTACTTTCCTTTATAGTACCTAGACTTTATGAATTTAAACGCAGTACTAGATTGGCTTCAAGGTCTCATCATTTTACAGTTGAAACAGAATCGAGCGGAAGTAGTACTTTATATCCATTACACCACCCGCAACTCTTTTGTTCCCAGTACAAGTTACTAATTATTTGAATATCCTTTCCATGTAGTTCAAGATCACATCACGAATATATTAAAAATGTACAATAGCAAAAGTGAAATTCTTGCACCTGGGTTGGGTGGAGGCTTTCATTTAAACGTAATTTAATTAATACTAGCTTTTCAGTGTAGATAATCATTTAAATAACCTTTGGTTGGTTGATTTTGTTTACCGAATTATCAACACTTCCATGGGTTATTTAATGCCTAAATCTAAATATTTTGAACACAATTTTATGGCTTTAAGTAAATATATTTTAAACGTGATTGTAATGTCTTCAATTATAGATGAAATGTATTGTTGGTCATTTTACTATAAAATGTATTGTTGGTCATTTTACTATAAAACGTATTGTTGGTCATTTTACTATAAAATGTATTGTTGGTCATTTTACTATAAAATGTATTGTTGGTCATTTTACTATAAAATATATCGTTGGTCATTTTACTATAAAATGTATTGTTGGTCATTTTACTATAAAAATGTATTGTTGGTCATTTTACTATAAAATGTATTGTTGGTCATTTTACTATAAAATATATCGTTGGTCATTTTGCTATAATGTTTATTGTTGGTAATTCTACTATAAAATGAATCGCAGATAATGATCTTGCTTTAAAGATATATTGTTGGTAATTTTTACTATGAATAGGTATTTTTGTAATTTGTTTCTTCAAAATCGTTCTTTGAGAAAATCGGTCAGCTCTTTCGACCACTGGGCTTCAGTTTTAATATCAAATATTTAAAGATGGAATAGGGAATTTCCACTGGCATTTTGAGGTGGTGTAATTAGCATGGAGATTATTCGGTTATTAAATTAAGAATTATGATTGATCAGAGAATTCAAATTTTACGTCTAGAGTGAGAACTAGAAAGTTTGCCATTAAACAATGTTTCGTATGTCAATCTCACAAGACATTGCAAGTAGTTAGTCAGTTAAGTGCCACACAGGATACAAAGTTGGGCGATCATGTATCTTTCGATAAATGACTGACGAAGCAGAAGATTTTTTCCCGCAGTAGGTTGCCATTTCTTTCTGCGGTAGGCTGGTTGCCAACCGAGGTCAAAGAACCCATTCTGTTCTGCTTTTCAACCCATAGCTGGGAGAGAAGAGATGGATTCATATCTTTCCCAAGGTAAGTAAATCTAACAAACTCGACTGGAATTCGAACTCGGAGAACCGAATTCTCATTCTCCCAGCCGCTTTCGATTACGTAAACAATGCACATCCCAAATAAATTGACTCTTTATTGGGGTTTCAGTGATCTAGTCTTGTCCCCCACCCAAAAGAAAATCCAGTAGACTGACGTCTCATACTTTATAATCTGAATTAAAATAAAATGTTATTACTTGTAACCATTGTCGATTCTAAAGAGGACGACCCCTGACTTTTGTTTGACCTTTATATTGCACCCCCACCCCCACTGTAAAACTGTTGTGGAGTGATTTCACAGTGGAGGCTTGTATTTGCACTAAGTCGGTCCTAAAATAGGTTCGACGTACAAAACGTTAGGAACTTCATATAATAGGTAATGACGCAGAGAAAATCTAGTTGTGGTCGCTGATAGTTTAGTATCCGACTAACGGTCGTCCGGCATCGACTGACTGAGCGACTCACTCAGCGACTTAACGACGGTATTTAGTCACCCCCACCCCCTACGAGGGCATCATGTGGCACAAGGCCGGTTTAACGTGGGATCTCCGAGACCGTGGGCTCGGCCAAAAATATGCCCCTTTTAAAACCCGTATAAACGTGTTCAGGGTCGGTTTACCTCCCCGAAAGAGACTCCGCCCTTCGGCGTAGCCTCGATCGGGTTCCTCTTCGCCTGAAGGCAGAGCATTCAACCGGTTAGCCGGTCGTCCGACCTCATATTGAACTCAGACCGACTCACTGAGCGACTCTCAGCGACTTAGCGACGATATTTATTACTGTATGTACAGCAAATGTGGCACAAGACCAAAAGAGGGGTTGGGGAAAAAGGACGGTCATCATTTGTCTTAATTTTAAACTTAGCTAGCCACAACCACTGACCCAAGCATACAAAACAATAATCCTACCACCAAAACACCACATTCATAATTACCTTTCTTACTACATCCACCCAAATACCTCATTATCTCAATGAGAATCCTAATTAACCCCATATATACAAATAATGTCTGTGGGGGGGGGAATAAAATATAACAAGTAAAACAACCCCAATGAATATATACAATAGGACTTAAAATTATTCACAAGAAACTAAACAAAATCATGTTAGTAATCAGCGACTTAGCGACTTCCACGTTACTCTTACTACTCCTACTCATTATAGGTGGGAGAGTCTATTAACTATAGAATAGGGGTGTTCCACTATAACAAAAACGCTATAAAGTAGAACTGTACATAACATAACATAATTCTGCCTGTTACTCCATTAATTTTAGTAAGTTAGTTCATCCGCGCGTCATGCCCTGCCATTACCACAGATAAATAATAATTTCGTTTTAATCGCGAAGAGAGGCGGAAGAAAGACATATATTAAAGACACAGTTGAATTTTAGTTGGGTGGGCATCTAAGTAACATTAATACAAAATAAAGAAGGGAAGAAAAAGGAGCGAGAGGAGGTGATTCCGTTCTCATGCGTTGCTTCACTGAAATAGAAAGCCTCGTCAATTTTGAATTTTTTTATTTGTACCTTCTTACTTCTTTAAATAATGGCATTATTGCAGTATTTTCTTAAAGTTGTTAAGCTCAAATATTTAAAGATGGAATAGGGAATTTCCACTAGTATTTTGTAGTGGTGGATTTGGCATGGAGATTATTCGGGCATTAAAAATAGTAAGACCGTAAAGTTTTCGAGGGTTACTAGTCGTACTTTAATAATCAGAGAATTTCGTAGAAATTCAATAAAGTACCCAAGCCATAGTTAATAGCCGTAAAATTTGTCTGGCCTCTTCGATGGCTGATATTACCTATAATTAAAAATGGTCTCTGATGAACTTGATAGCCGCCATGGTGACTGCAGAATTAAACTGTATTAAATCTGGGGAGATTATTTCGGAACTGCCTTGTCATGGCTGCAAGTAAAAACTAAGACTTCATAGATAAATTGTGGTTAACGGCCAAAACACGTTGAAAACACCAGTTCTCGTACGATCCCCAAAGTTAAGCAACCTCGAGACTGGTCAGTACCTAGATGGGTAACCAGTTGGGAATACCGGGTGCTTGGACCCTTTCAGCTCTGACCACCGCTTTACCGGTGGTAGACAACAATGACGTAATACCAAACCACCGGTTGAACGGTGGTAGAGAAAAATGATTTTATGCTCAGCTACCGGTTGAACGGTGGATAAACTATTAACTATTAAACTTGTAACTATTTTTATATCTACTGTGAAACATTACATACCAATTATTTGTGAATTTTGACTCAGGAGCTTAAGCAGAAGGATTAAAATTGTTCAGGAATAGAGGGCTCAAAGGGTTAAACTTGAATGTGCAGATGATGTAATGGAATTGTTAATCGGAAAGCCGAGTTGCAAGTTATATTCACTTACGCATAAATACCCTAGGGAAAGGTATGAATCTATCTCTTTCCCCCAGCTATGGGTTAATTAGTAGGACTTGTATCAGTAAATCATTATTATCTCCAAAAACTTCTTACAGTCTAAAAATATTTTCTGGTTTTAAATAACCTGCAAAAGGTTGATAAGCCGTAAAAAATAAATCATAATCCTAGAGAAATTGCAGTATTATGGCGTCTGTAGCACGACTGAGAAGTGTAAATATGAAGTTTGATTCCGACAGCAAGGTCTCTCATCAGGAGATTGAAGGTTTGAGGAGCATGGAACCACCAGGTTGTTTCCGAGTGGTAGCACCTGTTAGGGCCCCAGTTATGGGCAAATAATGACCCTCCAAATACTATGAAAGTATAAAAATACATTTTTCTTGTAAAAATACCAGCAATACATTATTATATAGAAAAGACTATAGTAGAATTACCAACAATACATTTTATAGTAAAATGACCGCCAAGACATTTTATCTGTAGTTGAATCCATTAAATAATCTATAGAGATTAATATGCCGCTAAACAAAATCAATCCACTAACATGAAAGAACACTTTCATGACATTAATCCGTATAATATTCTACAATTTCTTAAAGAAATCAAAACTTTAACAAAACTACGCACATATCACCGCCTCTAGTAATCATATCCACACAAACACATATATGCACAAAAAGATGAGTATCATCTACCATGTATTCAACTGTGATAGTAGAATAACGTATATCATATTTTTATTACTTCAAAGCTTCTAATAAAATTAAATTTCGTCATTAAATGACCCATAAGGTGTTGATATGCCGATAAACAAATCAATTAATTACGAAATTTGGTGATAGGAAAAATATTCGTGTGAATGGGTCGGTGATTTTGACTAGCTAGGTTAATGGATAGGACAACGAAGAGAGCCTCTGTCGTGTTATTGCACCCCTTAAAATCATTTCACTCAAAGTAAGGCAATAAAGTCACTAAGACACAATGCGAAAGAATAGGATAGAGAACAAGAAAAGAACTGAAATAAAAAAAGACTGAAGATAACGATTGACATTGCATTTAAATTTTTGAAGATGAAACTTGACTAAAAAGCAAGAAGCCGGAAGAGAGTTCCACCAGCGAGAAGTGCGACAGAAGAAACTATTAGCATAGAACTTACGGTTCCATCAAGCTACTTCAACTGTAAATGATGAGAACTTTCCGAAAATCTACTTCCTCTTTATGTACTGGGTTCCCTCAGAACGTAGGCGATCATGGCTCTCCACAACTTCCTGTCCTATGTAGCTTTTAATAAATTTTATCTTTCTGTTAATTTTCCTAAACCCTGTTTCGCCATCCTCAAGCTTACTAAGTATGTTATGCGTTGTTTTCCGCTTTCTATCTTGTCTTCAATCTGTCCTGTGAGTATCAGATTCTCCAAGTCCTCCTTCCTCATTATTTGCCCCTGAAATCTTTTCCTGGTGTTAAGTAAAAATTTCCTTTTTGTTTCTCTAAAACTTCATTATTGCTCACATAGTACTATACTTGAATTCATGGAGTCCATGTACCAAAGCGGAAAGTAATATGAGAAAAAGAAAACATTATTAATGAGAGAGAACGATAAAAGAACGGGAATTAAGAAGGCAGAAAATAACGATAGACATTTTTGAAGAGGAAACTTGACTGGGAAGCAAGTAGCAGGAAGGAAGAAGTGAGAGACATTGAGAGAGAAGATACTGTCAGCATAGAACTTACGATTTAATCTAGCCATTTCAACTGTTTTTACAAAAGAAATATTTCTTCAATGTTACTACCGTTACTACGACTTCTACGTTTTGGGAACACAGTTTGATTTTAGTAGTATTTTATTTTATCTAATAAAATATTATAATCGGAGACATCTTGAAAATTAGTATCGAAAAGCAAATGTGGCATAATTCCTCCTATTTAGACAGGAACCCGCTTATCAAGACAAAGCTGAGGTGAGTGAACTAAGAACAGGCAGATCTCAATTTTCCATGAATTTGTAACAATTTGTAGACATTTTCAGTCTTAATTGCGGTATACGTTTTCCGTATATATATATATATATATATATATATATATATATATATAAAATGGGAGTACAAAACTTAAATATACCACAAAGAAACGGAAATATTTATGCTGAAAATTACTCTCAGAAATTCGAACATCCAGGTGTTTAGGTAGTTTAGTTGTTTAAAAAAAAAGGCAAAACTGACAGAAACAAGCTAAGGATGTGTTTAGCTTTCAGTTTATCGGGTATTTTTAAAAAATAATTTGTTGAGATTTTTCAATCCCAGTTAACGTGCACCTTTCTCGCAAATATTTAAAAAAATTATTATTGATAAAAAATGAATTATATGAAGCGGAAATATATGGAAAATTAGTATCGAAAAAGAAAGTTCTATATAACTAAGGAATTATTCTAAGACTATTTAAAAAAGGGATTATTCTAAGACCAATTAAAAAAAGGAATTATTCTAAGACTAATAAAAAATGGAATTATTCTAAGAGTAATTAAAAAAGGAATTATTCTAAGAGTAATTAAAAAAAAGAATTATTCTCAGACCAATTCTAAGACCGATTAAAAAAAAATTATTCTAAGACTAATTAAAAAACGGAATTATTCTAAGATGAATTAAAAAAGGAATTATTCTATAAGACTAATTAAAAAGGAATTATTCTAAGATCAATTAAAAAAAAGAATTATTCTAAGACTAATTAAAAAAGGAATTATTCTAAGTGTAATTAAAAAAAGAATTATTCTTAGACTAATAAAAAAAAGAATTATTCTCAGATCAATTAAAAAAAGGAATTATTCTGAGACCTATTAAAAAAAGGAATTATTCTAAGACTAATTAAAAAAAGGAATTATTCTAAGATCAATAAAAAAAGGAATTATTCTAAGACTAATTAAAAAAGGAATTATTCTAAGACTAATTAAAAAAAGAATTATTCTAAGACTAATTAAAAAATGGAATTATTCTAAGATATTAAAAAAAGGAATTATTCTAAGATCAATTAGAAAAAGGAATTATTCTAAGACTAATTAAAAAATAATGAAGTGGAAGCATAAATATTAAAAAAACTCTCCTCTAATTCACTTTGATTTTTGCTCAATCACCCGCCACCCAATCGCGACCATCTTTCTGGTCCTCCTCCTCCTCTTCCTCCTCATCATCATCATCACGACTTACTGAAAATTGAATGAAATTAGTTTCGTCCTTTTTAAAACAAGTTACAATAATAAAAGACGAAGAAATAGAAAATTAAGAAGAATAGAAAATATACTTCTTCTTGTGTAAATAATTCAGATAGCGTATACTTGTAAAAGGATAATATGAAAAAAGACAATATTAAAACTTATCTTAGCTGACGCTTTTCATCTTCTAATGGATTTTATCAAGGTAAACGCACATTAGCATTAATAAAGCCCCCCTCCCAGAGAACAAAACGCGTTGGCTAAGATAAGTATTAATATTGTCTTTTTTCATACTTCTTCTTCTCTATGTGCCATGTCCCCTCAGGATGTAGACGATCGTGGCTCTCCGCAATTTCCCGTCCTTTGTAGCTCTTAATAAATTTGGTCTTTTGTTATCTCTCCCAAGCCCTGCTCTTTCATCCATTCACCCCAGCTCGTCAAGTAGGGATCGTCTAAGCCGACCAGGTAAACCGACCAGAAAGTATTACTAAATAAGCCTCACCTTAAATTTCATACACTTCTTCTTTGTGCAGCAAGTGGGAGATCATGGCTCTCCACAACTTCGTGTCCTTTGTAGCTCTTGACTTTTTGCTATACTCCTAATCCCTTTTCTGTCAACCACTTATACAAGCTCGTTAGGCAAGCTATGCAAAGCTTTCCACTGTCCTACTTCGGTGTGTCCTGGGAATGTCAAATTTTCCAAGCCGTCTTTCCTAATTATGTGCTCCAGAAATTTCAACTGTCTCTTCCTGATGTTTAGTATAAGCGTCATCCTTGTTTCCATTTTCTCTAAAACATGCCGACATGTTCGATTCATTTTATTCTCAGCATCCTTCTGTAGAACCACATTTCTGTTGCTTCAAGTCTCTTCTTCATTTAGGAGGAGATAGTTCAGCATTCACTGCCGTATAGAAGAGCTGATGTTACGTAACAGTTCTTTCTTTGTTTATAACGAAGTTTTTTTTCTGTTTCTTAATACTTTATTTAGCTTTTGGAAGGCATCTTTCGCTATCCCAATGCGCCTTCGGATTTCAGTGTCACACTTTCTGTCCTCTGTTAAAACACTTCCCAGATATTTAAATTGTTGTACTAGTTTGATTTTGGTATTTTTGGTTCGGTAGTTTGGTATAAATATCTAATTTACTTGTTAAGTTCTTCCCTTTTGCTAACGACCATGCATTTTGTCTTCTTGCAATTGAAGTTTAGTCCTTTCTTCTCATTTCTTTCGCTCTCTTCTACCCAAATAATCCTACAAGAGAATTGGTCAGCTCTCCCAATATTTCGGCTTCTCTTTTACGACTAGGATGAGAACTAGGACGCTTACCGTTAAATAATCTTTACAGTGCTCATCTTACAAGAAATTGCAAGTAAATTGACTCTTTATTAGTATTTCATTAATCTAGCCTTATTAGTATTAGTCTTAGTATTTTATTAATCTAGTCTTGTCTGATAAATC